GTGACGCTAATGGAACAAAGCTTTCAAGCTAGCTGGAAGATCAATAAAGATTTTATAAGGCCAGCAAAAACTTATTGAGCATCCTGCTATATGGCTTAATTAGTTTCCTCTTATAAAAAAAAAAAGATTTAAAAAGAGAGATTCACATAAATAATGCCAAAAGACCACCTGAGCTCATTCAGAATGTATTTTTTAAATGGTAATTTGCAGTCCTATCTGCTTACTTACAAAAGGCTTTTAGAGTTTTAAATTTTAGAAATCTTTTTTCATTTTATTCTTTGTGAAATTCCCCTGCATTTTGTGTAGTTAAAACTCACACACAATTTTATTTTCCTATTACAGTGATTAGAAGTTTGTTTGTTTTAAGGCACATACTTACTTAGTGGTGAATATAACGTGATGGCCATTTGAAAGGCATTAATAATTATCAGAACAAACCACATGAACTAATTCATTATTATCTCTTCCCAATCCAGAGAAGAATCAGACACATGACAGTTGCAGCCAAATCATCTTGAATTATGCTCTGGTCCATGGGGTGTTTAATGGTTGATATTTCAAAAGTAAATTGCTAGGCCTTTTTTCACAGTTACCTCTGGTTTGCATGCAATCATATTTATTATTTGCACTACCCAGGGACTCCTCCCAAACCAAGGTGAACACCAAAAGTCATATCAATAAGTCCAACTTACCTGCATCTCAGATACTTTAGGCATCATATCAACACAGACAATTCCTGGAGAAAGACATCAAGCTTGGTAAAGTAGAGGTTAAGCAGAAAAGAGGATGACCTTCAGCAGGACAGATGGATGCAGTGGCTGTAGCCATGGCCTCAGGCGCAGCAGTGATTGTGAACTTGGCACAGAACCAGACAATGTTTCATTCTGTAGCACATGGAGTTGCTCTGAGGCTGAACAGACTTGATGGCTCCTAACAACGGCAACCACCTGCGGTCCCCAGGCGATATGATGGTGGCTCATCTGAAGACCTCTCTCCTTATGAGTGGCAGAGCCAGGACACCCTGTTGTGTTGTCACTTTGGAGTTCAGGATCAAATACTTAGAACATTCTCACAAAGTCAACAGGATGCTTTTCTTGTTCATATTGAGTATGTGACCCCAGCCCTGAGAACGGAGAAATCGAGTGTTTTCCCACATGTGGAAGGAAAGTGGAGATACCTGTAAATACTTTTCTACCGTTTAGTAAGCTGTTCAGGCCCAACCATGATATCAGACTCAGAGGAAGACTTAATAACCTGTGTTAATTCAGTGCTTGATGAAAGTGAGAAGGACTTGAAGCACTTGCTGCGGAAGATCAGAGACTACAGCCTTCGATATGGATTGCATCTTGACATCAACCACTGCCTAGATAGGTAACATGACAGGGAAAAGATAAAATTATCAATGATTTCATTTTACTTGGATCCACGATAAACACCCTGGGTACAAAGTCAGGCAACAAGGAGCATATTGCATTAGGAAAAGTCAGGCACCTCCCCAGATTACTGAGGAGCAGTGATGGCAGTTTTGTGTGCCTCATGTAAGCCCTGATCTTTTCAGCCACTTTCTATACATCTGGAAGCCAGACAGTGAATAAGGATAACAGAAGAACTGATGCCTTTGAACTGTGGGATTGAGTATTGAATATCCCATGGACTGCCAAAAGAACCAACAGATAAATCCTGAAGAAAGTACAGCCAAAATGCTCCTTGGAGGCAAAGATGGCAAAGCTTTGTCTCACATACTATGCCATATTATTAGGAGGGGCTGTTCCTTGGGAAGGGACATCATGCTTGGAAAGGTGGAGGGTTGGTGAAAGAGGAGCTCCTCAGCCAGATAAATTGAGACAGGGATTACAGCCATGGGTTCAAGTGTGTCAGAGATATTGAGGCTGGCACAGAATAGGACAGAGTTCACATCGATTGTTCGTAGAGTTGCTATGAGTCCTACTCAGTTCGACAGCACCTAACAACAACCATGGCCAAGGGCTTACCAGTGAAATGAGACATTTCTATATATTACCTCATTTTATTTTCATTACTTTGAAAGTCTTTTTCCTGTTAACCATAGGGAAAGACAGAGAGAGAGAGGTCAAGTGACTAAAAATTTTATTTTGCTAAATATAATTTATCAGATTTACATTAACATAAAAAAAATTAAGGTGATATTTAAATGTCTTGTTCTGTGAACTTATAGGGTCCTCTGGGATAGAAGTGAATCCCTGAGACCCAGGTGATACAAATAGGTTAACTGTTCATATCCAGATAGAATTGAACCAGTAGTAGCTGGATGTAGATAAATTAGAATACCCGTAGTCATTCAGAAAATGCAAACTGACCCTCCTGCAGATTTCCTGAGGCTGTAATTCCTACAGGAGGAAATTGCCCTTCATTCTCCCAAAGTCGACTTGTGGATTCAAGGCACTTAGATTCGTCATGTAACTCCCTGTGGACTATCCAGCCCAAACTCCCTTTCAACAACTCATTGTCAACAAGGCAGGACTGTCTCACAGCCCACCCTCCAGTGAGTTTTCAGAGGCTGTAAACTGCACAGGAAGAGTCTGCTTCCCTCCCCCCCACCCCCACAGCAGCTGGTAGACTCAAAGCCCACAACTTCTTCCCTATTAGACCAGTAGAACTTTTAGCTCCTGTTTAAATTTTACATTTGGATTTCAGGATTATAAAGCATCTTACAGCACAACAGTTTCTTTAAAAGCCTTTATCAAAGCTCATTCAGAAAATATACTGAGTATGTTTTAAGATCTATTTAGTCTTCCTTCCCCTATTATAAACATCTGCTATTTTATGAGAAAGATTGTGTGAATAAAACAGGGCAAGAAAGACTTGAGCACATTTGAAATGCATTCTAAATGTAACTAATTATAAATAAATGTAACTAATTGTAGTCAAATGGTACTAATTATCTTCTAGTTAACTAGAAATAATAGCACATCTCTGAACACTTTAGCTAATTAATGGGCTGTATGCTCATAAAGACTTTATAATAAAAGGGAAATAATAATAAAAGTACTCAGAATCTGTGTGGCACTCCACTTCCTCTTTTTTAAGTATTAACTTTCCTATGAGCAATTTTCAAAAGAAAGATTGTTCTATCTACAATAAATAATCTTTTTTTAAAAAAAAAGTCTTCCAAGGGTTGCCAATAAAATTATCCAATTATTGACTAAAACTAAACCAGTATGAACTTCATCTGCTGCATGTTTCTAAATGGTAACTTCATTTTGGCAAGGTGGACAAGGACATGAATTACAGCATTATAGAACCTGTCACACTTTCAAATTTCCTTTATCAGTCAGTGTCAAGTGCTTTTGTTGTTGGTCCCCTTCATACCCTCCTTAATTTATCTCCATCCCTCAGCAAAAGTGTGTATATACACAATAGAACTTTTTTCCCAGTGGTAAATTGCCTGGTAAAATTTCCTCAAACTAGCAAAGTTCTTTAAGAAACTACCAATTTAAAAAAAAAAGGAACTACCATTTGAGGCTTTTTGATATTTAACTTTGATGTTCTGTTTTCCCCCTTTCTACTGTATCTTTACAACTTTTCCTTGCAAATATGACAAAGAGCATTCGAGTAGATAAAAATTAATCATTTTACTAAAATGACTTTAGAAATTTTTACTAAATAAAAAAAAAGTAATACATCTTAGAAACTTTTTACAATCTTCCTGAAACATAACTAGTAGCACATCATTTCAAATTCAGAAACCTCAAGTAGGTGAAGCCTTGTCTCTTAGGTAAAATCTAATTCCTTGAGCCTATGATTTATGATCATCAGATTGAACCTTCCTCCTCTGATGAGAAATCCACTTATGATAACTAGGTTGCGGTATTAGAAAAGTTGTAATAATTACAACATAGTGAAAGTTGTGATTTGTCGTGGCTTTCACCCCACCATTTGACCACGGATAACATCATGTCAGCTTTAAACCCATTATGGTTCTGTCAACTTACTGTGACCCTACAGGACAGAGTAGAACTGGCCCAGTGGGTTTCAAAAGTTGAAAATCATAACAGAAGCAAACTAGCACCACTTTTCTTCTGCAGACGAATAGCTGCTAACTTTCCAATTAGCAGCCAGGCCCTTAAGCACTGTGTCATCAAGTCTCCATCTCTGCCAGCTTCATACTCAGAAAAGGTTCCCGTTGATCTGCACTTAAAAACTGCATAAGCCATTTCATGTTATGTAGAAAATATATGTTCATTTAAAAATTATTTCAAGAATAGGATGGACTTTTCTGACTGTTGATGTCTGATCCGATGGAAAAAATGGAATTGCCTTCTTTGATTTCTACCTGATGCAAGGGAAGAGAGTCTTTTAAAAAGTCTTATTTTTCTTTAAATGTCCTTTAGAAAGAAAGTGATACATGTGAAAGGACATTTAGTTGACCTTAAAGGAGCCTCTGCTTTATCAACAAGATAGGTACCTAAGCATTTGTTCTCCTTTTCTGAAATAGGTTTCCTCTATTTTTGTGTGTGCCATGGAGTCTATTCTTTCTCCTGCTCTTTTTACTCTTAGTTATTGAACTTTAGTCAAAAGCATTTTCCAAATCCCAGTAAGTGATCTCTCCTTATTCCATTACCTACATGCTTATATTGTAAGAGTTTTTTTCATGACTAATACAGGAATTTCCTAAGGACTAAGAGACAAGGATCCAGTTGTGCTTCCGTGACGTTTCCTTAACTATAACTTGTCCTACCAGTACATGATCTTCATGACGTTTGAACACGTCACTCCTGGGTTGTCTTGAGTAATGATTTGTGGTGTGTCTTTCCACTGAACTGAATGCTCCTGGAGGGCAAGAGCTGTAATGACACCTTATGGTCTCCTGAATCTAGCAATATTTTTTTTTGTAGTTAGATGCCCTTGAGTCAAATAATGTGAGGACAAATAATATGTGAATGTTGAATAAGTGATTGTTTCCAAATAAATTTTTAAAAACTAAATATCTTTTTCCTCTCCCTGTCATCTCTTTTGTGCAGCACCTGAGAGCAACAAAGTGCAAGATAAGAAGCCCCCTGCCTCCACCCGTCCCACCTCTGCCATTTCAGGACAGAATAGCAGCCACTCAGGACATAAACCAGGTAGGATGCATTGCACGACTGAGAGACGAGATCTATCCCCCAAAGCTTTAAAGACATACTGGTGAATTACAGACTAAACAAAGCTAGAATCTAGGAGAGCTTGGATCAAGACCGGCAGAGCACTCGCCCTGGGTCCCTTGTCTGAGCGTACGTGAGGAATGCTCTCCAAGCCTTCACTTTTTGTCTTTAAAATGAAGATTCAAATACATATCCAGTTTACCTCCTAGAAAGACTTCACAGTCAATAAGACAGTGTATGTAGGTGTATTTGTTTTCTGTCAAGCAGTGTAAATGAGGTACTGATTTTACCGTTCTGTCTGTAATGATAGATAACAATTATTTTCTTACCTGTATACTAACCTTTATTGCATATCTCTTTTGTGACCTTTTCAGATGAACATTTGACCAAATATTTACACAAAGCAAAACTAGTAAGGAATTAGATTTTTTTTTTTTTTCACTATTCCTGGCCTTGATTCTAGGAACCCACAAAGCATTTTATTGTAATAGTCTCTTTCTGTCTGTTTGACTCAGTGCTACAAAGAGGCCATCTGTAAACATCATATACACAGTTGAATAGGCAATGCAGTTGCTTCCAGGTCTCCAGCAGTCACTGTTCCGTCCTTGGGAGAAGCTGACGTACAGTAGGAAGACAGTAGACAACAGACGAAGGCAAAGGCGGATTGAATGCCCCACAAAGCTATAAGAAGCCTACTTTATCCTATTTCCAAGGTTGTAGACGCTGGAACACAGTGAATCAGGGACAGCATAGATAAAAAATGACTAGGTCTGACCTCATCTCCATTATACTTAGTTTGGTAATTTAAGGGGTGGATGCAAACAAACAGACCTTGAATAGGTCTGGAGCTGAGCAAATAGATCACGCTTGTCACTGAAAAGGAAGACAGATAACAAGCAGCATTGCAAGTTTTACATCAGCAGTCATTATTGAAAGATAATTGATTTCAACTGTTTTGATTATCAGGCTAAGAGTTCCCATCTTGTAAGCGTGCATCCATCCACCCACCTCTCAGTCATTATCTTCATTGAGAAGCAATATGTGAACAGTGTGACCCCTGCCTCCATGGTACTTATTCCAACTTGGCATAGCCAGTTGCTGTCAAGTCACCTCAAATATATGGCACCCCATGTGTGGCAGAGTAGAACCCTGCTCTGTAGGGCTTTCCTGACAATCACCAAGCCTTTCCTCCAGGACTTTGGGTAGACTTGAACCACCAACCTTTCTCTAAACAGCCCAGCATTTTAACTGTTCACATGCTCAGGGCTTCACAGCTCATTCTGTTGTTAGATTCCATCAGGTTGACTGCAACTCACAGCAACCATTAGGAACAGATCTGAACCGTGCCCTGTCCTGCGCCATCCTCACCGTCTCTGATACACTTGAAGCCATTGATACAGTGTCTGTATCAGTCCACCTCGCTGTGGATCGTCCTTTCCCTGACCATTTGCCTTTCCAAACATGCTGTCCTTCTCCAAGGACTGCCCCTCCTAACAGCATGCCCGAAATATGAGACAGAGCTTCCAGTCTATCCTCAAGGAGTGGGTGGCTACATCATTTTGAAGACGTATTTGGCAGCATGTGCCCATTCATTTGTTGGTTCATACATCTGTTCATTCATTCAGCAAATGCTAACTAAGCAGCCTCCTTTCTGCCAGGTACAGTCCTCGGCATTAGCTGTACAACAGTGAACAGAGCAAGCTTTTGTCTCCACACTAGTAATGTTGTTGTTGTTGTTATGTGCCATCGAGTCATTTGCAACTCATAACGGCCCTATGTACAAGAGCTCTAAATGCTGTTCTATCCTGTGCCAACCTAGTCAGAAAAAGTATATAATAAAGAGATCCCTGGAGGCCTAGTGGGTAAAAGTTTCCCTGCCAACCCAAAGGCGCAAGGATTGGATTCCTCGGCAGGAGAAAGATGAACAGCTCCCCACCCCTGTGCTGTTCGCAGCCTCTGAAAACCTGCTGGAGGGTCCGCTGTGAGTCATTTGCAACTTGATGCACAGAACCACAGCTAACAACAATCTACTATAAAGGAGTATATAAAATACGATGAATAGGGTAGGGTCAGGTCATTTGTTCATAGGGTCACTGTGAGTCATGCTTGACTGATGGCACCTAACAACAAAAACAGGATGGGCACTTTTAGGGAGCTCTTTAGGCCTAGTGGTAAAAAGCTGCACAGCAATCCCAAAAACACATGGTTCAAATACAGCAGCTGATCAAGGGGAGAAGGATGTCCAATCTCTACTGCCTCTAAAATCCCACAAGATCAGCTGTGGGTTCGTTTTAACTACAACAACAACATTCACAATTTTTTTATATTTTTTAATTATTATTATTCATTTCAATGAACATTGAGATTGCAGATTTCCATTCATTCATTGTTGCACTTTTCTCCCCGCCCACCCCCAGTTCGCTCTTCTTTAAAAGCAAAAGAAAAACTCCTTCATTGGTATACAATCCTCACGCACCCTCCCTCCCTCACCCCGAGTATACTCCACTCTGTAGCCCTCATTCCAATTATGATAATCATAAAGCCCTAAAATATTACTTTTAAACTGTTCTCTCCCTCATCAGCTTCAATGCAGTATACATAATTTATCCAGTTTTTCTCAGACTTACCCCCACCCTGATATCAGCCTCATTCTACAACAGTGGCACCATGCAGTATTTGTCCTTTTGTGGCTGAGATAGTTCACTCAGCATAATGTCCTCTAGGGTCACCCATTTTGAATAATATTGCATGAGTTCCTTGTTTTTCAATTCAGCGTAGTATTCCATTGTGTGAATATACCACAGCTTCTCTATCC